GAAGTCCAGAGATAGGTAGCCCAGCTGATATGTCACTCAATGGTACCAGATACCAAATTCCTTCTAACTTGTCTTGGAATTTGGCTTCCCCAAAATAGATCAACATGAGTACTTGAGCTCTATCCATCATATACATATTCAATACAAAGAAGCTCAAACCCCTTCTTTTTAAAGATTTATTCCAATAGTTCCAAAAGACCTGTATTAGTCACAGTTCTCCAGAGAAACAGAATCAATAGGACACACACACACACACACACACACTTAAAGAGATAGAGAAAAAGGTTTATTATAAGGAATTGACTCATGCTACTATGGAGGCTAAGTGTTGAGATCTGTACTCTGAAGCCCTGAGACCAGAAGAGCTGATGGTGTAAGTTCCAGTTTGAGTTTGAAAGAAGGAAAAGACCAATGATGACCAACGTCCCAGCTGGAAGAGCACCAGGCAGAGAGTGAATTCTTCCTGCTCATCCTTTTGTTTTAGTCAGGCCTTCAATGAACTGGATGAGGCCCGCCTACATCAGGAAAAGCAATCTGTTTACAAAATCTACTAATTCTAATATCAGTCTCACCTAGAAACACCTTCACGAATACACCAAGAATAATCTTTAACCAAATATTGGGCAACCTGTGGCCCAGCCAAGATGACATGTAAAATGAATCATCACAAGGGGCTGGCCCAGTGGCACAGTGGGAAGTTCGCACATTCCTCTTCAGCGGCCTGGGGTTCACTGGCTGATCCCGGGTGCAGACCTACACACCATTTGTCAAGCCATGTTGTTGCAGGCGTCCCACATGTAAAGTAGAGGAAGATGGGCATAGATGTTAGCTCAGGGCCAGTCTTCCTCAGCAAAAAGAGTAGGATTGGTGGCAGATGTTAGCTCAGGGCTAATCTTCCTCAAAAAAAAAAAAAAATAACCATCACAAGGCCTTTCTGTTTACAGAATATAGCGACAAAAAAGGGCAGTCAATTTGCTCCATATCCTGGAAAGTCATGTGCCTAGATAAAAATCAGAGATCCTATTTTTACACAAATATCAGAGAACAGGTATTAGGGAGCATTTACTAGCCTGTGCCTCTGAGGAGAACCAACACGGGAGGGGAAAAGAGAAAGGAGTTTCCTAGATGAAATAAAGTGGATTTAGCTCTCTCAACTATGGAAGATAATGTTTATATCATTTAAGAAAAGTACTATTTTCACCATCTGTTGGTATTCTGATATTGTGAAAATTACAACAGAGCCAATTTTTATCTTTCTGACTTAAACATTTGAAAATTTCTCTTATTCTTTGAAAGCTATATTACATATATTTTACTATTTTTTAAAGTGATAAGGAAACCCTTGAAGTGTTAAGTCTCAGGAATATTGTTTCTGAATATTCCAATATAATTTCCAATAAGATATGTATAAGCTTATAAGCCATTTTAACTTTGTATTTTAAATACTACGTTTTTACTACTATTTTGTGATTTTTTTTCAATTTTTTAAATTATGTATTTGTTTCTTAGCATGAATGGTGAAGATATACCTCTTTTTTTTACCTCCCTGAACTACTACAACTATTACACACACACACACACACACACAGAGGAGAAACTGATGAACAACCTGACTACAGGAAGAGAACTGTGTGTGTGTGTGTGTGTGTGTGTGTGTGTGTGTGTGTGTATTTGAAATTGACTGGATTTACTTTAGTCTTCCTTTTACATCTTTCCTGTGTTCAATCCCTGATTCCTGGATCCTTACTTAATTAATCTCATTTTTATCAAATCTGCACTTCAATAACTTTCTATATAGTTATTCCATAGCACCCCAAAAGAGGGTTCATGAAGAAAAATAAATTTGAGCCCTTCCATATTTGAAAATATCTTTACTCTAGTGGCTGAAATTCATAGATTTGCAGGTTGGAAAGGACTTTCCCTCGGAATTGAAGACATTGTTTTGATCTCTTTCAGCTAAGTCGCAGCATTGCTGTTTAGAAGTGAGATGCCATTTTTATTCCTTTGTCTCTGATCCTTCAGGTCCTTTGCCTATAACCCCCTTTGGTTTTTTTTCTCCTTTCTGGATGCTCTTAGGACTTTGCCCCAGTGTTCTGAAATTTTGTGAGGATGAGCATTGGTAGGTGTGTTTTATGAAGCTGAGCCATAGTTGTAGATACTCAGTGAGCCCTTCAATCTGGAAAATTCTATCCTTGTATTCTGGAAAAACTTTTTTTTTTTTAAATTTTATTTTTTCCTTTTTCTCCCCAAAGCCCCCTGGTACATAGTTGTATATTCTTCGTTGTGGGTCCTTCTAGTTGTGGCATGTGGGACGCTGCCTCAGCGTGGTTTGATGAGCAGCGCCATGTCCCTGTCCAGGATTCGAACCAACGAAACACTGGGCCGCCTGCATCGGAGCATGCGAACTTAACCACTCGGCCACGGGGCCAGGCCCTGGAAAGATTTTTTATTAACGCTTTCATAATGTCCTCTCTTCATCACTCTCTTTCTTTCTCTAACTCATTAATTGGCTTTTTAGATTGAGCCTTTTAAAAGATGTTTTCTTCTGTTTAAAAAAATCTTTGCCTTGCTGTTCTTTCTGAGAGATTTTCTCAATATGGTTTTACAACAATCCAATTGTCCATTTTAATTTTGTCATAAATTTTTAAATTTCTAAATATTTTCCTTATTCTTTGAATACTCTTATTTCACAAACGTAGGATAGTCTCTTTCAGCACTGAAGACGAGAATTATGATTTAATGTGAGATTTTTTAAATTCTCTGTATGATCTCTGTTGCTTTCTGAATTTGTTTTTCTCTTGGAATTTTCATATGTATCTTTTATTTTAAAGGCATTCCTTAAATATCAGACGATCCTTATCTGTCCAATCAAATTAAGAAATGTTTTAAAATTCTAATGAGAAGATATCTATATCTATATCTATATCTTCTTGAATCATAATCCTCAGATTAGTTTATTTGGGGTGGGGTACAAGTTCTTTTAAATAGAATTAGTGGTTTTCTCTTCTTCTTCAGGGCAGTTTTCCCAAAAAAGTAATCTTCCAATCATTTGCCCACAGAGTCATAGCATGAGGGCCAGAGTTGTGGAAGGCAAGCAGCACCGCCACTCAGTACACCATCCATCTCCTTACCCCAGGTGTCCAGGTGGGTGCCTCATCTTTGACCTCAGCCGTTTGAAGTGTCTCCAATCCAGAGTCTCTGTGATTTACTATTTCCGGAGAATAAACCTATTTTCTTCAGCAGAGCTCAAGGGAGGACAATTGCCTATTTTCTAGGAATTAAGGGGAATATCTGGAAAGCTACTTACTACCAAAAAGTAAACTTCTAACAAATCTTTTGCTTTCAGCCCCACTTCACACCCAGAGTGACTTGCACACTCAGAGGTTCCTTATAACTCCAATTCTTGAAACTTTCCATCGTGCTTGCTTTTTATTGACATCCTTTAGGCTATCACGTTTTGGCTTTTTCACATATAGAGTCAGTTACTATTTATGTATATGCTTTCCACATTCCAAAATTAACACTGTAGTATACTACCGTCTTTTTTCCTTTGTCTTTTTGATCTTATATCTTTAAAAAATACTTAATGTCATTTCATTTGGGTTTCCAGAAGGATCAGAAATTCATGGTGTCAATTCATGATTTATAAATGAAAGTCCTCACTTATTTTCCAACAATGTGTTTTATATTTGTTTTTCTTCATTGAAAGTGTGCTTGAAAAGTCAACAATAACTATTCTTTTGCCGGATCAAATGGATTCTTTCCACTGACACTTTCTTGATGATCACACACCACTTTCTAAAAATTCTACTCAATTGAGTTATGTGACCCTACTCTCTCTGTAAGCACCTGCCATTTTCCAACTTTCTTACTCTCACTTTTTTCTCTATCTCTTTCCTCTACTCTAGTTTCTTTGCCTTTCCACTTGTCTTTGGTGTTCACTGAAATTCTGAGTTTAGTCAGTCCTAATCTCATTCTACATCTTGAGTAATCCCATTTCTCTAGTTATTTTCACTACCAGTTGTATAATGGTGACTACCAAATCTGAATATCCATCCCTGACTGAATTCCTAAGCTTCCCTGTGTGATAGACATTTCAATCCTGCTAAACATCTCAATTTGGATGTCTCATGAGCACCTCAAATTCAATATGTCTAGTAAGGGACTCACCATCTCCTATACCAGGCATGTTTCCTCTCACGAGTATTGCAGTTCAGTTGATGGCACTATTCATTCACTGAAGTTAAAAAAATGAGGAAATTAATCAAGATTTTTCCCATTCCCTCTTACTATCACACCCACTAAATTACTTACAAATTAATCTTTGGCTTCTGATTTTTCCCCTTGGTGTAAGCCCAATCATTCTGATCTAGTTTGTAGGTTTATCTGATACTGTGTCTTTCCTTTCAAATTCATCTTTATTATGACTTTTAGAAAGAACTATCTAAAATTTAAAGCTGACAATTTTACTACCTTGGTGTAAATACTCAGTGCTATCCATTACCTGTGCTCTAAAGACCACAGTTCCTAGAATAGAATGCAAGAACTATGATTATTAGCCATTATTTCTATAGCCTCATCTCCCATAATTCCTCCCTGATTTGACTCCAGTGGATACAAACTTACTTGTGGTTTTCCGTAAACTTGATAATGTTTCATATTTCAGTGGATTTATTTTTTACGTAGTTTCCTTTGCCGTGAATGCTCTCCTACTTTTCTTTAACTAGCAAACTTCTACTATTCATCTAGATTCACTATAGCTTCTGACTCTAGACAATCTTCCCTAATCTCCCCAGGATGGAATGACTGGTCTTTCTCTCTTCTCTCTGCCTGTTTACAAAATGGTTTGTTCCCAAGTATATACCATGATATTTGTTAAGGGAGGAAACAGTATCTTATTCATTAGAGGAGCTTCATAATCTAATGTGGTACCCAGAAAGTAAGGGGCAAAAATAAAGCTCTTGTTGAATTACCAAGAAATCTTTCTAAAAGTTTGCATTATTTTGTTTATTTACTCTTTGCTCTTCTTTCAAATATCTTGCTCTCACATACATTTTCAAGTAGAAGATTCCTCTTTGTGAATACATGTTTTCACAGTCATGGAACATGCTACTATACTCTAACTTATGATGACGTTATAGCTTAATGCTAATTTAGATAAGATAGATTCTATGGAACTTGGGTTTGTAGACATTAGTTCATGCTCCAGCTCTCTAGTGTCTATGTGTTAAATGAAAAAGTTATACTAGATGAACATCAAAGCCCTTCCTAGAAGTCCTAAGGATATATTACCTACTATATGAAAAAAAAAAAACAAACCCCAGCCTTCTGAAAGCTTATAAGCCAATACGCATTCCTGGATATTGTAGCAAATGAGGATTTTTCTTTCCACTGAAGAGCTAAAAGACGGGCATCTGGGTCCAGGAGACAGGAGCAGAGTCAGGCTGAACATCTTGGCTCAGTTCTCACTCTTCACAAATGTGCCTTTAACTATGACTCTGTGATAAGGAGGTAGAAGTGAGATCATTTATTTTCCTTATAACTTTTGTTAAATTTGAGTTGTGACCAAAGTAATGTGTTAATATCATACTTTTTATTGAAAAAAATGGTATCAAGAGCTTCACTTCAGTATAAGCAATGATGTTTGGTTACTTGGGAAAATCATAAGGTAAAATTTTGGGCTAATGAGGTTTATTTCCCAAACTACAGCAGTTTCAGTAATTTGCATGAGTCACAGTGACAAGTTTTCTCTTGTGACCAATTTACAATTTAACTCTGCTGCAGTCTATTAAAGATAAAAACAACTTCCTAGGGTTTTAATTCTTCCTGCATATTCTTAATTGCCTCCAAATGTAGCCAAGCTGATTCTGGAGGAAGCTGCACATAATATTAAAGGAAAAATAAGAACTCAAATTTTATTCAATTTAAAAATATAATCTGGCCATAACATATTTTGTGAGGCTCACACCAAACTTAACAGCAACCCTCACCACTGTCTTGAAAGTAGCTGATGAACCAAAGAGAATACAGGAATGTAATTTCATTCCCACCTTTACAGTTTCGAGTATTATTTATCATCATCTCATTTTTTTTATAGCGTTAATGATATTCTTGTCCCTTTCCAGGCATAAATGAACACAGTAACTTGCTTTAGTGTATCGAGAAACCATGCAGCAATTATAAATGATTTTTCAGATTTAACGGAGCACAAGATGTCTTCATTAAGTTGCTGTTTTAAATTCGTACATGTCACATGGTTTCAAAGACGATGTGTTGATGCCCACATTTTAGATTATAGATGCCTCTCAATCTCTATTCTCTTCCATTGTTGTGGGAATTTATTTACTTCTGGGGTGTGTGTGTGTATGCGTTGAGGAATGGAACCTCTAGAAATAGGGAATTCTGAGAATGTGGGCAGGAAGAAAAAATTGAGCTATTAGTATCAGCATACGGCAGTTTCCATAGACTCTTGCTTTCTGCTTTCTGACTCATCACTAGAGAGGCAGTGTAGAAAATGTATTAGTTTCCTAGGACTGCTCTAACAAATAACCACAAACTTGGTAACTTAAAACAGGGGAAATTTATCCTCTCACAGCCGTTTAAGCCGGAAGTATGAAATCAAGGCATTGGTAGGGTCATGCTCTCTCTGAAGGTTCTAGGGTAGAATTCTTCCTTGACTCTTCAAACTTCTGGTGGCTCCAGGTTTTCCCTGGCTCGTGGCTGAATAACTATACTCTCTGCCTCCATCTTCACATGGCCTTCCTCTCTGCTCCATATCTTCTCCTCTTCTGTCTTTTATAAGGACATTTGTCATTGGATTTAGGGCTCACCAGGATAATCCAGGATGATTTTATCTCAAAATCATTAACTTAGTTACATCTGCAAAGACTCTTTTTTCCAAATAAGATCACATTCAAAATTTCCAAGGATTAGAATGTGGACATATTTTTGGATGATGACCATCATTCAGTCGACTACTAATTAGGTGGAGTAGCCAAGTATATAACTGGAGGGAAGTATTATTTACTTCTTTGGATCTGTGGATCCTGATTGCTCAGAAAAATCTCAATTAAAGAATGTAATTGACTACTGCTTTTGCCCATTCTCTGATGCATTCACTGTCTTTACACCTTTACTTTCCCTGTCTTTCTAAATGCATCTCTCTTTAATAGTTTTCTCTTTGTTTTATGCTTGTCCATTTCTCTTTCTCCATTTCCATTTCATTTTCTCTCTTTGGTATTTCCTTATAGACTTTGGAGCTAGTGTAGGTGGAAATAAGAGGAAGATTTTTTTCTTTGCTAAGGAAGATTTGCCCTGAGATAATATCTCTTGCCAATCTTCATCTTTTTTGTATGTAAGCTGCCACCACAGCATGGCTGCTAACAGATGAGTGGTGTAGGTCCACGCCTGGGAACCAAACCCAGGCCACCCAAGTGGAGTGCACTGAACTTAACCACTAGGCCATTGGGGCAGGCCTCAAGAGGAAGAAATTTTTAATTGCATGGATATTATCTCTGGCTTTAAATCCAAATGATACTGTACTCAACTTTTCAAAGAGGGAGAGGGGTTAAGAATGTGTTGATAATATATGTACACAGTGAGACCAAGTAAGAAAGAGAGGGATTTAAAGAAAAATGAATTGAAAAGACTAAAAGATGTAAAATTAGTATATAATTTCTTGATTGAGAAAACAGGTTTGTGTCAGAGAAAAATTTTGTGAATAGTAGAAGTGTATAATAAAAAGACACAAAGTGCAAAGGAAATACAATGTTGTAGAATCATTCCACAATACTCTTTCAAATGATCTGAAGAATTCCAAAAGAAATAGACTTTATAAGTTATTGTGTTTCAATAATTGACATCAACTTAATATATAGGTTTTTCCCATTTCTACAAACATTTATTGATTGCCTACTGTATACTAGCTACTCTTTAGTACATTGAATCTGTTATAAACACAGAGAAGCCATTGTGTTGTATCCCAGACATGGATGTGGTAACTCAGGTATGCAAATTCTCTGTTCCCTCATTTACATGATAGGGATGCTGTGGCACATGCTAGAAAACCAAATATAAAAAATTGAAACAAATATGCAAACATGAAATTCTAAACTGAAATCTATAAATGTCAAATTATACTAAATGGAAAGTATACCTGAATGGTTCTGGATGTTTGAAAATTGCTTAAATGTCAGAGCAGTTCCTATTCTCTTCAGAACAGATTTTTTCATAGTGTGCTTTTAATAAAGATTGGATGATAGTAATAATGCTGTTGGGGATAAGTAAATAGAACTTAATATTAGAATAAAGTATTGTTGTGTTTGCATGCTGCAGGATACAAACAGGAACAAAGCTATGATTAATATATACACTTTTTTTTGCGATGACTGCTAGGAAAAGACGGTTTTCAGAATGTATTGGTGTTATAATAATACAAAGTACCTCTAACCAGTTCTCATACACATTCCAAATTTTCATTAGTGATAGGCAGCTTTGGCATAACCTTTAAATTTTTACATTTTAGCTCAAGTAATATTCACATAAAAAGTGACATTTTCCAGAGAGGAGGAAAATTTCAGAAGGCGGCTTTAAGTATACACTTTTCTCATTGTTGCTTTTCTCTATTCCTTGAACTCTTGTTCTGGTTTAAAATCATGGCAGTCCCCTACCTTGCTGACACATTAACAAAAGAGCACGGGGATCTAATAAAGGTTTCAGCTGTCTCTTAAATTCTCCTTTCAACACTGGGCACTTCTGTCCTGTGCATTTAATCAAGTTTGTAAGGCAATTAACTCCCCTAATCTCTACAAGCATAACTATAAATCTTCTGACTTCTAAAGCATAGTTCCCTTTAAACATACCTGCTACTTCTTCATTTTCTCTGCACTCATGTCAGATTAGGTCTTCACCAAAAGCAAGTTTTGTTTCAAAAGAAATTTCAAAGTCAATCAGCATTAAACAACACAATTTGGCTTGCCCTTTCCCTTTCTGCTCAGAACACCGCAACTGGTGATGTTTGTGACTTGCGTTCAGAGTCAAATGATCTCCAGGAAGCACGCTGAATAAATCCCCATAGTGCTGGGATACCGAGAAGAGTTTCCTGTTGGTTGGCCTCAGTTTTTCCTGCACAAGAGTCTCGGAGTTATATGTGTCTATAATGCATACTTCCCCAATGACTCTGTTGGGTAGACTTCATTCATTTCCCTGAACTATGGGAGACGGTACAGCTTCTCTGCTGGAAAACTCCTTTCTTTTTTTACATGAAAAATAAATCAGAATATATTGACTCTAGGAAGAGCTTTAGACAGACCACTGAATAATGAGAAATGAATAAGCAGAAACGTAATTTATATTTTTGGAAACATGTTTATACCTTAAAATAAGTTAAACTATTGCATAATTTTCCATTTCCATATGGACTCATTGGAATCTCAATATTGTCCATTGTCTGCTGGAGAATGTGCTCCTTTAAGTCTTTGTAAGTTTTGAAGCTATTTCTGGGTCTCAGTTATAAGGCACAGGCTGAATCATTCACATTCTTTCTGAGAGTTGGGTTGGCTCCAGGCCAAGGCATTCAGAGGAACTTCCATGAATCTTATTTTAGTTCCATCTTTGTACAAGGCCATGAATTATCTTAATAGAATATCTGTTAAGCAACAGTTAGTAAGATCTTAACTTTTACTTCAATAATTCATTTGAAGGAGAATACAAATGTAAAGAAGCCATCTTTGTGAGTAGTTAAGATCATAGGCTCGGGACTCAGGCAGTCCTGAGTTCAAAGTCCAGCTCTGCCAATTGGTATTTGTGTAACCTTAAACTTGCATCACCATCATGTTGCTCACAGCTTAATTTCCTCATCTCTAACATTAAGATATGAAAGCTCAAAATCTCACAGGATTATTTTGACAATTAAACAAGATAATATCTATGGAGCCCTTAAGTAGAATTTTTAGCACAGTGTACACATATATATTCATTATTATTAAAACCTAGTTCATACAAGAATAATATTTTGACAAAACTCTTTAGTCCTTGAGGTAAAGGTGACTATCTGTATACTTACAGGAAATCAATAATAATAGATGAAGGAAAGAAGAAATGAAAGTACAATTGTTAGAAAAGCGTGAAACTTATGTTTGATTAGAAGGATCCTGCCAGAAACTAAAATAGAAATTTCTTTTGTTAAAAGAACACTTAGCTCAGCTATGATCTTATATTCTTATGATAAATATTGTGTATTTGACTTTTAAAACAAGCATGCTCTCAAGACGTTTTAGAAGTGAATAAAACTAGCAGATCTGTATTAAGAGAAAGTGATTTTAACAACTAATGGTTTAAAAACCTGTCAGACAATACGGTTCATTTTGCTAATATTCACCTGAATGTGCTCTTGACCCACCTTTTCTGACCATTTTCTTCTAACTAGGTTATTCTTGGCAGACAGTTAGCACATGATAAATGTGTACTATGAGTAATTTACTATTTGTGGGACTAACTGAACAAAGACAGAAGACTTAAAAAAAATAATAATCAGCTGCTCCTGAGGTGTTTCATGATCCTAAACTTGAAATGTTAATTAATATTTTAAAGAATTACACTTTATTTTCACTCCTACACAAGTACAGAAGCAATACATCTCTGAGAGTACATAAGTAGCTTTTCAGCAACACGTAATTTCATTTTGGTCATAGAGTTCTGCCCTTCACACTTTGTGAAATGTTCCAGTGACAGCATTATTATCAGTCTTAATATATGCTATTCTAGAGGTGCATAGGGAAGCTCCAGCTTCTCAAAGAATTAAAGGAAAGTGTATGGCCAAGTAGCCTAAAATTAACTATGTGAATGTCAGTAAGCAGAGTTTAAGTGTTTAGCATTTATAAAATTGACCAGGGGACTCATTACCAAGATCATTAGAACAGTCTTAGAAGTCATAATGAAATCACAAAAAGTGTCATATTCCTATCTTTAAAAATGCCATACCATTCAATGTGCCACATGGTATTTATATCATGTTCTTGGAGTTTTATTGGCTTAATCTGGGCAGAGAGATCCTGAAATGTACATGAGTGCAACAAATGGTTGAAATGGTGAAGCTGTGTTTGAGGCAATATTTAAAAATAAGCACTTGTAAATTCTTATAAACCTATGCACCTAGGTAGAAAGTTTCATGGCCAAGAGTTTAAAAGTGTGTTTTATATAGATAGATTGACAGAGAAAATATTTAGTGGATAACAAGATTGTACTAGAAAATTTTACTTATACATAGTGATAATTCCCTGAGAGAAAATGATGTTTTAGACATGTATAGAAATATGTATACTAATAAATGTGAATTAGTGTATGCATGTATGTATATATGTATGTATGCTTGACTACAGAGATCAATAAATGAATCTCTTCCATAAAAATATGTATCTTCAGCTTAGAAAGGGCTAGGACAAAGTTTAAGTCATTGAAAGAAATTAACTCTTTGTCTTTAACTTTTGGGCCGTGCCTTGAATACAAAATTTTTCTCTGGAATCATCAGGCTGATTTCAAAATTTATCCAATCCCTAAGAAGTTGATCTATCATTTTCTTTAATCCTTAAATCTAAAAATAATTCTTAGAGTTAATTAGGTTATATATTGTTTAATAGTAAGACAGAATGAAGAAAATTCCCCATTCATCTCAGCATCACAGTTAGGTCAGAGAGTTCCCTTAAAGGCTGACTGGCTTCAGTGTCCAGACCTCAGTATATAGACTTTTCTTTTGCTCTTTATTTTAGTCTCACTCAAGTGTTTGCCAACCTTAAATGCAGAAGAATCACTAGGGAGACATACACTATGCCGTGCATGTTTGACTTGATAGAGAATTTACAGGATACTCAAAGATAATTATGATTGCTAGCATGGTTTTTTGCCTTTTCGAGAAAAATTTAAGATCTAATCCGCATAGAATTGTGACTATTCTCTAGTTGTTTTTTTTTTTTATTTTTTTGAGGAAGATTAACTCTGAGCTAACATCCGCCACTCATCCTTCTCTTTTTGCTGAGGAAGATGGGCACTGAGCTAACATCTGTGCCCATCTTCCTCTATTTATATGTAGGACATCTGCCACAGTGTACCTTGATAAGCAGGGTGTAGGTCTGCGCCTGGGACCTGAACTAGTGAACCCTGGGCTGCTGAAGCAGGGCATGTGAACTTAACTGCTATGCCACCAGACTGGCCCCGTGGCTCTTCTCTAACTGTAGCATGACACGGAAATGATTTATTATATCATCTTCACAGTGGTTTCCAATTGCAACTGTAGGGGAGAAAGACATTTCCTCTTCCCAAATGTGGGTTCGTCTGGCCAGAGAACGAATTAAATTCACATGAGACAGAATAGCAAGAGAAAATTAAACAAAGCTTTATGAGGAACCATGGCCCGAGGCCTCTCTTCCCGAAGGAAGAAAGGGCACCGAAGAAGTGGGGTGCACAGAGTGGTTATGTACCCCCAAAGGGGGTGTTTCACATGTGATTGAAATGTCCCTCCCACAATAGTCACAAGATTGCCCTGTCAGCACAGTGCTTGATGGACACGGCAGGTAGTGGTCTGCTATCTCGGTGGGCATAGCAGGAGGCAAATCGATTGTCTGGAGCTGGGCGGTCACACGTGAGCGCAGCAATCAGTTCCTTGCCTAAGGAAAGATGCTTAATCCTTAAAGGAATGCCAATGTTGGGAGGGGGAGGGAAGTCAGTTACAGGAGGATACCAGAGAAGCACAATAAAATGCAGATTTTAAGTCCTTGCCTTTGGTATTGATTAAGAGTTTCTAGAGAGAAGGTCATCGCCTTTCTTCTTCCTGGTACAGAGAGGGAGGCACCTTTACAGATAGAGATTTACCTTACAAATGTAAATGTGTCCTAACAAAGGGCAAGTTCCATTCCTCAGAGCCTCCTTCCCTGTCGCAGTTTATCAAAAGCAATCAGCCTCAAATAATCCTGATGCCAAAGAGACATAACTTGGGGTGGCCAATTTCAGGTCCCTACACAACATTTCAGTCCAATTTATTCATGCAATTGAAACCAATTAATAAGAGCTTTATTTGACACCTGCCAAAAATAGAAATCGCCAAGGCTTAAGAAAAGAAATTGATAAACCTTACATCTCTATTTAGGGTTCCAGATTTAAGATTTAGTTTAGCATAATTTTCTTTGCTTAAGTGCTAAATGTAACTCAGAGTCATTTAAAAGACAATATAAATGAAACTCTCTGCCAGGAAAATATTCCTCAAAAGAGGCCAAGGGGAAAAAAAAATCATACACTCAATTTCTATAAATAATTCTCCCAAAACTACTTAATATAACAGTAAAGGTCGGTCCAGATGGCTCTGTTTGGCTGACATGATAACTCTTTCAACAACTTTAGACATGAGATAATAATTCATTACTATAGCAATTGGGAGATTTAGTTTTCCTAAAATGGAATCCCATTTAAAAACAAATAAAACCAACTTGATGTTTAACTCATTCTCTCAAATCCAGGACCACTCTAGGGACTTGTAGGAGAGAAGATAAAGGTTTTGCAGTTACCTTTTAATGAAATGTCGGCTTACGTAATAAGCTATTTTTTTTTTCTTTTTACTTTTGATAAGCTTTACTTTTAGAGCAGTTTCAGGTTCACAGCAAAATTGAGTGGAAGGTAGAGATTTCCAATGCATATACTCACTGCCTCAACATTTGCACAGCCTCTGCCATTATTAACATCCCTCGCCAGAGTGCTACGCTTGTTACAACTGATGAACCTACATTGACATGTCATTATCACCCAGAGTCCACAGTTTACTTTAGGCTTCGCTCTTGGTAGTGTACATTTTATGGGTTTTGATAAATGTATAATGACCTGTATCCACTATTATAGTATCATACAGAGCTGTTTCACTGCCCTAAAAATTCTCTGTTTTGCCTAGTAATAAGCTTTTGACAAGAATTTTCCTCCTAACATTCAAGTTTTTGAAATAACCACAAACTTCTTTCTTTTCCATGGTATAGTTA